TATCTATCTATCTATCTATCTATCTATCTATCTATCTATCTATCTATCTATATGAATATATATGGATATATACAGGAATTGTGGTGTTCTGATACTGTAAAAAATTTTTAATTATATATTTTTCATATCCGGCCTGATTGTTTTATATTCATTATTCTTTTAAAAAATTGAAATTTTTTTACTCTTCACCCTCCCCTCCCCTCTCCTCCCCTCCCCCCAAAAACTTTTCTTCTTTTTAGGTAGAAGAAGCTTTGGGGAGAATGAATTCCTTCTGCTCTTCCCTGAATTTTTTTTGTTTTGTTTTCCCCTTCACATCTAGAGCTTTTCTTTCAAATTATGTCTGCAACTAAATATTGCATAACAGTCTCTCACATCGTACTATGGTAGTTAGAGGGGTTGCTACAGGAAATTTTCTTCTGTTGCATTTGTTCTGGCAATGTTAAGACGGAATAGGTGGACTGTTAAGATGAAGGAATAATCAGACCTGGGTCCTCTCTGAATACGTGTAAAGTTCTTCTGACACCTGACTGATGCCATTTAAAAAAAAAGTGTAAAGTGCAAATGTGCCTGTGTGCCTGTGTGTGGTCAGAAGAATTACTGGCAAGCAGTCTCTCTGTAGACTCTGCATTTAACTGCCTGACCCCAATAGCTCTGAGCAAAACATTTTGCATACTTGAGACCTGCTGACTTCAATGCCTCTTGTTTCCAAGGAACCTCTCTAGAACGCTGCTGTAAAGGTCCTATTGAGGATCTCTAATTTGGAACATCACTTGTTTCTTTTAATGTTCTTCTGACCCCCAGACTGACAGTATGTTGAAGGATGCTATGAAAACAGCTTACTTGAATATCTTTCTCTCTTGATCGGCTTTTCTTTTGTAAATAGAACATGTAATTTCTCCAAATGTCATCAATTACTTTTTTAGTAGTTCTATGTATCAAAATGTCAGATGAGCAAGTTTTCAGTATTTTTTGGATATATAACATTACGAATTTGCTTTGGAAGTCACAGTAACAGTCTTCTCTGCTTTTTAGGTGCTGCAGGGAGTAATGGGAATCAGAACCCGAGTTTTCCAGACCTGCGGGCTTCCTTCTGGAGCCGTTCCTGCCTTTTGACTTGCTGGCAGTGTCAGCTGTCTTGGACCGTTCAGAAGGCCCTGCCTCGTCTTGCTTTGGAAACACACAAGTGGCTGCGTCAAGAGGGGACTACAGTACTGTCTTTGTGGGGAAGAATAACTGAACTTGCCTTCCATGGTTTCTTCTTTCTTCCAGAACCAAATCCCTTTCTGTATATCCAGGATTTACAAAGGAATGTTTACAAAGAAATTGGAAAACAGTACAACGAACAAACAAGAGAATTGTCAGAGCAAAAAGGAACTAAATATTTCCCAGGTTGGACAAGTAAAGAATCCCAAATTCTCAAGTAGTTTAAAAAGCACAGTAAAAAAAATAGCCAAGCATACTTCTGCTTGCAATTTGTCAGCTAAACAGGAGAGAAGCAATCATGAATTTTCTTTGTCTCCAACTCTCAGCTATCGGGTAGCCATTGCAAATGGATTGCAGCAGAGGGTTTTCCTAAATAAGAATGAAGATCCCTTTCGAGATGCTTCTACTAATGAGAGTTCATTCTCAGAATGTTTAAGTGAAGCCAAAGACCAGAACAGGAGCAAAGAATATTTCTCGCACACAATGCCTATGAGACGCAACAGGAAGAGCGTGAGCAGCCTCGCCCCTTCGGATGGCAGTTCCGAAGGGGACCGCACACTGCACAACCTGAAGGTTGGTGCTTTACGGAAACTGCGGAAGTGGAAGAAGAGCCAGGAGTACGTCTCCTCAGACTCTGAGCTCAGCACATGGAAGAAAACCTGGGGCCTGAGGAGCAAGTCTTTGGACAGAACAGCTCGAACGCAAAAGTCAAGTACCTTGGAACCAAGCTTCAGCTCAACTGGTTGCATCAGTCAGACCCACGATGTGATGGAAATGATATTCAAAGAGCTTCAGGGTATCAGTCAAATAGAAACTGAACTCTCTGAACTGCGGGGACACGTCAATGCCCTCAGACAGTCGATTGATGAAATTTCCAGCAGCGTGGAAGTCGTGCAGAATGAGATTGAACAGTTGCGGACAGGGTTTGTACAGTCACGAAGGGAGACACGTGATGTATATGATTATATCAAGCAATTTGGACATGCAGGAAGCAAAACCAGTCTTCGATTTTTAAATGTGCCAGAGGAGAAGTTTGAGAACATTGAACATGTAGTGTACAGGACATTAATAGAGAAAATGGGGTTTTCAGAGGCTCAGAATTCTGTCAAAATAGAATTTGCACAGCGACTGGGACAGCAGAGAGACTGTCCCAATGCCAAGCCACGGGCCATCCTTGTTTATTTTGAAACACCCCAGCACAGAGACTTGGTTCTGAAAAAGTCTTACAAGCTTAAGGGGACAGGCATTGGGGTTTCAACTGATATTCTCCCTCGTGATTCAAGAGAGAGGAAGGAGAGAACTCTCCCTTCGTCGCAGACGTACGAGAGCATGGATTTGAAATTCCTAGCCTCTGATCTCAGAGCTAAAGAACAGAATTGGGAGCTGCTTGATGACCGTGGCAAAGAACTAGAATCCGATATCAGTCGGAACAGGTATGCAAAAATATCCAAATCTGCTCCACAAATGAAAAGAAATTCTGCAAAGGACATGGGAGATATTCTTAAAAGGGCTCCAGATGGCAACACTTTCCCAGGTCAAGACAGCCCACAGAGGGAGATCAGAGCCGGTTGCTCTTCTAACATGACCTCTCTGTGGCCATCACAGAACGATTTTGCAGCACTAAAGCTCAGTCGTTCAGAATCTGATTTTTCTAAACTCTGCCAGTCTTACTCCGAAGATTTTTCAGAGAACCAACACTTCATCAAAACGAATGGGAGCTCGATCTTATCCTCTTCTGATCAGGAACTCTGGCAGAGAACATACGGTGATCCATCAGACTGGAGCGGTGATCTGCAAGAACAGGCGTCTAATCAAGAAGGTCCCTCTCGAAGATTTGAGAGTGAAATCGAGAATACAGAAACAATTGACAGCGGAGTCAGCAACGGGATGGCATGTGCATCAGGTGACCGAAGCCATTATAGCGACTCTCAAGTCTCTTTAGAAGATGCACTTTCACCGTGGAAAGACTGGAATCAGCTAGACCAAAATAGAGACATTGGAGTAGATTCCTCAAGCTACAAAAATTTGGGTTATAACTTAAATGATTTTTCTGACCAGCGGGTGGGCTATGGCCAGTTATCAGATGCCCAGTATGAGGCAGAACATTACGATTATGCCCCAGACAGTAATTGCCTCTCTGGTACAGAGTCCAATAGTGAAATACAGAGCCAGCGGCTTGGCCAGCTCGCTGAGCACCAGCAGACCAATGCCCTCTTTCCAAACCAAAACAGGAAGCCTGTGATGTATCGAAGCCAAAGTGAGCTACCAAGCAAGGATGCTGAAGAGGTACCTCCTAAGTCTTGGCACAGCCGGCTGAGCATTGACCTTTCGGAAAAAAGCTTCATCTTTCCCAAATTTGGAAATACCCTGCAGCGGGCAAGGTCAGCTTTAGAAGTGGTGTGGAATAAGAGCACGCAGAGTTTAAGTGGCTGTGAGGACAGCGGATCATCTTTTATGGAGAGGTTTCGGACACTGTCTCAGTCCACTGCTAATGAATCAAGCACAACCCTAGACTCTGATGTTTACACAGAGCCATCCTATTACCGAGTTGAAGATGAGGAAGACCCCAGCAAGTCCACGGCTGAGCTTGAAACAGATTACGTAGAAGTCATGGAACAAGTCCTTGCTAAACTGGAGAGCAGGACTAGTGCTAATGAATTGGAAAAACAGACCCAGGAATGTGAACCAGAGGCATCTGTGTACAAAAGCCCTTCAGCTGTTTCACAAGAAAACTCTCCGGTTGGCTGTTTGGGGAACCACGTGGCTGGTCAGCAAAAGTGGGAAGTTGCAGGTGAAGATACAGTGGTTGAAAACAAATTAGATGTATGTGAAGACGAAAACCAGAATGTTCCAGTAGTCCCTGCTAAGGCACCAATTAAAAAAAAAGGCATTCCATCTTTTAAAGAAGCTGCTCTGAGGGCATACAAGGAACAGATGAGCGAGCTGGAGGAAAAGATCCTTACTGGAGGTAGGGTGGATTTACATTTTGCTTATAAACAGCAATAAACCAAAAAAGAAAAGAAGAAAGAGATGTTGAATTCTAAGAGTCACTTTTCTCACTTGGAATTCAGTGTGTCAGAGAACCACTGTTTATCTCCAGTAGAAATTATGCTGAATTCTGCTGGAGAATCCATGACTAAAGCTGTTACGAGCTGTGCCGCATGATCTAAGTTACTGTCAAAGATTTGGCGTGTTTTGTCCCACTAAACTAATTAGAGTGAAGCAGTTTAAATACAGTACAATTATTATGGCTTTAGGGCACTGTAACTCAAACTCTTAGTTTGTGACCAACTCCATGATGGTGGATAAATCCATACATTACCTTGAGGCCACACTGTATGTTCTTTGTTTTGAGGGTGAAGTGATGTGTGATTATGACTTAGTGTGATGTGGGAGGCAATAAATCATGGTTTAGAAATCTTGATGATGTTTATTATTATGAATCAGTGCAGCTAGCATCTTATTTTTAAAATTATGTTTAGTGAATGACAATCTCTGTTAAGGCTTCTCCACATGGAATCCAATTTCCTTCTCCTCTGTGGCATGCTGGAACCATTCCTGCTGGACTACCCCAGTGCCTCCCATGAGGGACCACCCTTGAAAATGCTATGGGACATTCACTTGGGGTTGATTACCTGTAGCATCTGGTGAGGCCTATTGTTTTCCCTGCAGAAAGGACTAAATACCAAGGCTTCTTTGCAAAGGACTGACCAGCAGTGAGTTCTTTTATGCCCCTTGGGTACAAGCACAAAGGGGTGGCTTTCTCTTTCTTGCAGCTTTCCCCAAGCAGTCCTGCTTGGCAGAATCTTTGCTTGGAACTAAAGTGCGGTCTTTAAATTCTGTTTAGGAAGGTTTTTGGACTATCATCAGACTGACAGAAGCTTTTATGAGGCCACTTCTGCCCTCCCCAGGATGACCTAAGGAGACAACTGGAGGTGGATAGATAACAAAGGCCCTGGAGAGAATGGAAAGCCTGTTCCAAATTAGGAGTACATAATGATAGTAACATTCAATCAGGAGTGCATGTCTAGTGCCCTAGCAAAGGCACAGCACTGTGCAGAGGACAGGCAGTCCTGCCCTGCACCAAGGAGCCAAACAATTGAAATACTGACAGGTGGTAGAAACCTGTGAAGAAGGAAAGTGGGCAGGGAGAAAGGGTGGTGGTGGTGGTGGTGGTGGTAGTAGTAGTAGTAGTAGTAATAGTAATAGTAGTAGAGTAAGGCTGTGCTTATTTCAGTACGCATTCTTAGGCCTAGTTATAGGAAGGGATGGGACGGGATAGGGCACGGCTCCACAGAAAAATGGTTGTCTGAATTCATAGAATAATATGTAATGCTTAGGTGGGTGATTCCAACCAAGACTCGACAAGCAAGCAGCAGGCAGGGATGCAGTTTCCTACCTGAATCTGCCAGTGTGCCATTGAGAACGTCTTCCGCAGACCAGTGTGCACTGTGTGGTTCTTATGCAAAAAGTACACAAGAGCTAGCGAGTTGGGACATTCTGAAGGATTTTCTGCAAGCTTGGATTTATTTGGTTTGTTGTTTTCCCTGCTGGGCTGTTTCCAGTCTCTGTCCCAGCAGCTCTTTGCAGGGGTTTGAGCTATCTCTTCCTGGGTGGCAGAGGCCTCTTCTTGGCAGCGGGCACCCGTGGCTTTTTCCTTGGTACACGGATTATGCTGTGGGGAACCAGTGGAAGAGAAGTGAGCAAAGGTTTTTCTGCAGAAGAAACATTGGAGAATGATCTAGGATGTTCTTAGATAGGATGCCTAGAAACTGAGATGGGGACCCAACAGTGTGGCCCCAAACCCCCATGACAGATGTGCTCACTAATCCTCAGTCTTTAAAACTCTGTATTCTCATATGAAACCTCACGTACCTCAGGCGTGCAAGATCTGATGAGGTTTCAGATCTTTGAATGTTGTTATTTTATTTAAATGGATTATTGTTGTTGTTATTTTTGCATCCATGACAATCTGGAATGGCGCAGCGATGCCTATCAGCTGAAAAGCTTCTTGTCTGGCTTACACCTTTCTGCTGTAGTCGAGACCAGGACTCAAGTGCTGACAAACGTTGCCCTTGGGCATGGAGTTTTGTGGACAGGCAGGAAGCAGCGCTTTGAGGGGCTATTTGGAACCTCAGGAAGGAAACTAAGGAGGGTGAGGCTAGCTTAATATTGGGATGGGGGACCAGGGAGTTCCCGGGTTTGGTGGAACAAATGGAGGGAACCTGCAGCCCTTTTGCCTGAGCGCATGGTTTAATCTGCCAAAGCCCCTTTCCCTGCTCCCAACTTGAGAGCTGTTGATCACAATTTCTCCTCTCCTCTATCAACCAGTAAACATTTTGCTTTGACCCTTCTGGATCAGGCCATTACTATCCATTTGTTATGCACCATAATCCTCTCAATTGGGCACAGAACATTAGATGCTTCTGCCTCTTCCCAGTACGATAAGGTCCTCCAGGCAAACTCTGCATTGGAGCGACGATTTTAGAATACTTTAGTGCTACCATCCTGGGTTGTGGCCACAGCTGCCTGGGCAGACAAAGCAAGTCAGGGGGTCTGCAAGTGGGTCCCTCCTTCTACCTGCTTGGGTTCCTTGGGTGACAGTTAGGGATTTCCTTGATGAGATCTGATGCCGCTCTGGGCCACCACAGTGGTTGCTGCTCCTTCTGGCTAAGAAGGCTCTTGATTTGTAAGGCTAACAGGAAGTGTTTCCTGGCCCTGAAGAAGAAGTAGAAATGCTGAAGGGACCAAGTGCTGCGTGGGGAGCTTAGTGGTGAGGACACACAGGCTGGGAAGGGAACTGTCAGTGTGCAGCTAATTTCCTAGGTAGCTTTCACCACCATCCCCCTGTGCACGCTGGCTGAACTTCACACTGTCACTAGTTCCAGGCCACTAGCTCTGTTTGTTGAAGTCTTCCTGGTCAGTGCTCCGATTCTGTGGAAAACGCATAATTTATAGCTGACTGGTTGTCTGGATACAGGAAGCTTTAATTCCTAATGGCTGCAAAAGTTTTGATAAATGCATCATCATTCATAACAAGACATTTGTTGAAAGATTTGTTGTGTTCAGTGGGAAAAGTATTACGCTCTGCCTCTTTTCACTCTGGCTTCCTCTGTTTAATTGAGCGATCATAATTGAGCGGATTTGTTTATGTGGCCAAGAAAAAGAGTTTAATCATCACAATATATCTTTCTGATTTACAAGAAAAAAAAATTCCTTGTGTTAATTATTGTCCTTCATTCGACTGGCTGGTGTTAAGGCAGAAGCATGTTAAAGCTATTCTGCTTTTACTGTTGCTCCCAGAGGTCAAGCATTTTTTGTTTTTATGTTTCCCTTCCAGGTCTGTAATTCCTTCTTGGCATGGGGGGACCCCCTTTTCTTTAGGCTTGAAATAAAGGGCCACCCTCTCCTTTGTGCCCCCTTGAGAGGTGATGACTGTCCAGTTCACCCCCTGGGGCAGTAGTGGCTCTGAAAGGAATTGAGCACACTTGGCAAGGTGTTTGGAAGGCCTTCCATCCAGAGCCAGGACTGCAGGGATGATGTTGGAGGCATACAAGAAGGAAATCATGACTTGATGGTCCTTTGGCTGGAAAGTGTGAGGTGGGCAAGGGTTTCCCAGCATGCCTCCTTCTGGAGCTGCCCCCATTTTCTCCGTATTTGGGTCATGGAGACTGCTTTAGCTCAGGCTTTGCAGTCCAGGAGGGGCTTTCAGCCCGGCACTTGGAGGTCACTGCCTTAACCCAAGGACTCTTGCTATGATTGGGTGGCCTATGCTGCTGCACTCAGAAGGAAGTTTCTAATCAGAAATGGAGCATAAGCCAGTTTGCCAGGCTGGCATCTGAATAAGCAGAAGAACTCCTGCTTCTGAGTAGGGCTTTGTGGGATCCCTTCATAAAGATGACTAAGCCTTTCTGAAGACCCCCTTGGGTCAGTTGCTTGATAGCCTGAGGGTTCATGTCACACCTGAAAGTCCAAATGCACACCCATCATTTTGTCATCAGGCTTCCTACAGAATGGAACCTGCATGACAGCAAGGTCTCATACATGGCTCTTCAGATTCCAGCTGTAACTTTCCCTGCCAGGCAGAAGGGAGGGGGAGAGGAGGTCCCAATCTGGTTTAGCATCAGTGGGTAAAGCTGGTCCCTCAGGAGCCTCCTGGGAAGGCTCTAAATAGGACTGCAATATTCACAATGCACATTTCTTGGAGAGTTTGTGTCTAATTTTTATTCCCCCCTTCCCAATTCTTTTTCAGATAGCAGTTCTGTGGATGAAAAGGTTCCAAATTTGCATCTTTCCTTAAAGGGTGGTGTCTTTTGTGGGCGCGTGGTTGTGGCTCAGTTGACCCGTTTGGTCTTTTAATTTGAGTTGTGAGATGCGCATGCCCCCAGCTTTCCATGCTTCTGTCTTCCTCTTTCTCCGTCGTTGATGTGTCTAGATGTCTCCCATTGACATGCAGACTGAGTCCTCACCGTTGTGAGTTTCTGACTCGTAAGTTGTGCCAGCTTAGGGATCCGCTGTTGCCAACCCTGAGTTTCCCATTTTGCACCCTGGCTAGCGCGCCCCTTGGCCAGCTGCCGCTTGTACTCCAGGTTTTAAAGGGAAAACGCCTGCAGTGGGTTTCTCCCTAAAACTGAATGTTGCTCTGTTGTCTTTTCAAACAAGACGGGCTTTGGCGTGGTGGAGCTGGCCCTGCTTCGCATTCGTGTTTCCGTCCTCGGTGTTGTTCTGTGTGTGGCCCTCTCTGCTTGCCACCTGTCAGCCGCGGCTGAGAAGCTGAGCTTTTCCTTCTTTTCGTTCAAGGCTCACACGGCCAGTGGATGTTCTTTGGAGGCTTCCAGACTTGCAGTCCAAGCCTTTGCTGGGTAAGTACCTGCTCCCCTCTGGCGGTGTAGCTGGGGCAAGGAGATTGGGAGGAAGGGGCAGATCTCCAGGGGCTGCCTGTAGGATGAACTTTTAGGGAAGTAAAGGAGTCCTTGCAAAAGGAGCAATTCACTGGCTTTGCCTCTCCATGCCTCCGGTTTGGGTTTATCCTGCGCTTCTTCTCAAATATCCTCAGCTTCAATCAAGTCTCTCCTAAGTCATCTGGGCCTCCTCCCCTCTGCTGCTTCGCTTCTCCTCTCGCCCTCGTGGAGATGTATGTAGGCCACAGCTGCTCCTACTGCTTCCCCCAAAGGAAGCGCAGCAGCGGAGAAGGTAACACGCTTCAAAGGCAGAGAGGGGCAAGTAGATTGCTCCTTTCGCAAGGACTCCTTTGCTTCCCTAAAAGCTCGTCCTACAGGCAGCCCCTTGAGATCTGCCCCCTTCTTCCAAATCTCCTTGCCCCAGCTACACTGCCAGTTGCTTGAAACATGTCTCACTGGCAAAAAGGAGGAGAACATCAGCAAGCAAAAGCATTCGGAGTTGCCCCCAATTGACTAGACTGCTTTTCCAGTCTTTCTTTGCCATGGCATCTCCAACCCAAGTGTTTTGTCACCATCTCCCGTCCTTTGCCTCCTGACCCCTTCAGATCATGTGCAGCCTGTTCTCTGATTTGGCCCAACAAAATAATTTCTCAATCACACCCAGTCAGTTGAATTTCGCTGTTGGGCAGCTTTGTGGTCCTCCACTGATACCAAATCTTCATATCCCCCAAAGTTTTGGAAGATATATTCATTCTTTCAGAGTGTGTGAGTCTGGTGATTTAATTACTCCCCTCTGATGTCTGTCTGCTGCTCAATATTTCTGGCTTATAGAGGATTATTATTGTTATTGTTCAGTGACACTTTGTGCAGAGAAATGTCAAATCTACAATATGTCTTACCTCCAGCCTCTAATTATGACATTTGGTATAAGGAGAAAGCACCACGCAGTTTTGCTGGGAAAAATATGGAAGAAAAAGCAGCACGTTGGAAGGAGCATTTGCATTATAAAACCAACAAATAGTGTATGACTTTCACTGTGGTCCTGCAGCTCAAAAGGCCAAGGCTTTCTCATTCCAGAAGGTCTAGGGGCTTTTTAATGAGTCCCCAAAGGTCTCGTGGGACTGCAGGAGCGTGTGCCTCTTCACGCTGGTAATCATCGTTGCTTTCTTTCATGCGAGCCACACATTTTAGTATGTACCGTGGATCCATCCCACTTTCTCACCTTTTCAGCCCTGGTAGTGCTCTGTATGGGATTGACAGCATGCCAGACCTGCGACGGAAGAACACACTTCCTGTCATCCGAGATGTGGTGAGTTCCTGGCAGCATGCTATTTCACATCACATTAATGCGCTAATGCTGTGGGTGGCTGGTCCCTGCTTCAGCTAAGAGCGGGTGTTTTTCTGCTCACTGTGGAACTAAACCAGAGAGCTGACTTGGGCCTTGGAAAGATGTAGCCCTGCTTCCACCCACAGGGCCAGCATAGCATCAATCTCAACCCTGTCCCGCTGCGTTGATAATAAATTGCAAGAGCAGTAATCCCAACTAAGAGATGAACTGGCAGACTGCAAATGAGACATCTGTAGAAGAATGACATTCATTATTTTGTTTCTCATGGCTAGTAAGAGGAGTACCAGATGCACACATCTGTGTTTTGTGGTTGGTTATTATGTGTGGCTGTAGAAGGAATTCCACCTTCTGGGAAATGTGCAGTTTACTTTCTTGATCGATATCTCCTATTTTTTAAAAAAATTATCCCTCTTTTGTAGTTAGAGACTATTTTAGCTTAAGTACTGAAACATTATGTTCAATGAATTTAAATGGTGCTCACAGAGAAAAAATGAGTAATGTGATGGGATCCTTCTAAGAGTTTTCTTATATGGATCAGTTCAGTTACCCATTTGAAGGTTTTCAAAATGAGAAAATAAGGCAGGATTTAACTCTGGTATCTGCTGCCTTAATGGCTATGAAAATATTAATAATTGCATGTCATTGCCCCTACAACATCTGATTATTAATGCTTTTCCTAATTCTTTCTCATCAATGCTGGATTTTCCAGGCAATGGTAAGTGATTTTCATTGATGGATGTTGTGAAATTTCACAGTTAACGTATGGCATTACTCAAAAGTTCTGTCCAAGGGTAGCTGTTCACTGCAAATTTGACATTTTTCATAACAAATAATCCTTTGATGCCAAATGGGTTTGAAGAAGTTAAAATCTGTCTTAAAAATTATTTGTCTCAGCCCTAAAAACAGCTTGAGTCCATCCAGAGGCCCACTGACTACAGGTACAATTCAGAGATTAGCCATCATTCTTGTGCATATGTAATCCACTTGGACTTCTGAGCCTGCTTGTTCAGGGGAACTGTGGTGCAAGGCAGCTTCCAAGACTTGGGTTTCTCTAACGCTAGCTACAACTAAAGCAGACACAGCAGTGATCAGTAGGATTCTGAAGGGATCTGTCTTGGGGTCAGTATCATACAACCTTTTTATTAGTGACTTGGATAATGGGATTGGTGGGCTGCTTATCAGAGTTGTGGATGATATTAAATTGGGAGGTCTGGCCAAGACTCAAGGTGACAGAATAAGATCAGTGACTCAGGACTTCGGAAAGAGAAGTTGTAAATAATCCTGACGAATTCTCTGCTTCTTGCTGGTATCAATCTTGCTTGCTGGAATCATATTGGACAAACAGATGAATTTGTAGGACTGGATTTTCCTAGAAATTGCAGGGATTTTCCTGCCTGCCCCTTTCAAGGTTTTCCAAATACTGGGGTGGGGAAAACATACAGAGGGCTCTGCAAATGTAATCTTGCAAGGCAGAAACAGCACAATTCCCCTCAACAGTGGGGAACTGCTGGTGGCTCCAAATGTCCTGCTGAAGGTCAGCAAGCTGCCCATGAAGTTTATCCTGCTGGAGAAACACCATGTCTTTCCCTCTTTTCCAGGCCATCTTCTGTATTTTTGTTATATTAACTCCTTGCTACGATAGGAAACGATTTTATGGTCTGGGTTTTTCTGAAGTTAGAAGGTGGGTGTGTTATGAGAGGAAATATTTATTATTCATTATTAAAATAAAAGATAGATGAGCTTTCCCCACATCCTCTGACTGCAGAGATGTACTGATGATGGTGCTTTCAGGAGGCAGTTCTGAGCAGTTTGTGCCTTTGTAAGACATTCCTGGAAGATCAGCTGACTTTCCCCTGGGAGACCAAAGACTCCGTAGAAAGCTAGGGTTTTGGTTACCCCGTGTGTTTTTCCACCAGTTGTACTTGGGAGTGACGTGAGCAGCAGGAGAGTAAAGCTTGACCAGGCCAGAGGAATGAGGTCAGAGCTGGCTTGGAGAGGGCTGGAGCAGCACAGCTTGCTGGCCAGCCTTGCCTCCCCTCCCCTCCCCTCCCCTCCACAGCATCTTACACCCAGAGGGATTCAGACCCTGTTGCTGGCTCTCTGGGGCAGGAAGGCCACCTGCTCTCTGGTGGGGCATCCTGTGGGGCCTTGACAGAGGGGGACTGAAGGGCCCAGAGCTTCCTGCCACTGCCAACCTCTGTAGTCAGGCTTTCTGCTGTCCCTCCTGGGCACAGTCCTTTGCAGAAAGGCAGGGGCAAGCGTGCTCAGACACCGCTGGGAAGCTTCGGGTGATGGTCTTTGTATTTCAGTCTCCGTGGGCACGGGTGACCAGCATCAGTTCTTAGCCTGCCTATGCTTGTGCAAAAGTGGGATCCCCTTCTGCTTTTGCCTTCCCCACTAGCCTTGGCAGATCATTAATCCCTGTCATGCCTAAATTATTGATAAAGGTACGTGTTACTCAGTTTCTTCCATATATGTTTGATGAATATTTAATGGACACAGAATTAGGTGTAATTTCTCCATTACCTATTATTAAAAGTCTGTCTGGAAGAGAAGAGATGCCAGGGGTCTGAATTGTCCTTTCTGACATGGTTGGCTGGTTCCTTCTGGTTTCCCTTCCCTTCCTTCTTCTCCTTGATAGTAAAGTTGTCTTCTCCTGGAACAGGAGCATCCAAGTGATTTAAGGGCCTTCACACCATGTTCTTACTAGCCTAACTCTGAATACAAAATCCTTCCACAGAAACTGAATCATGGGGGCAAGCAGGTTTTGCTGATGAGCAGAGGCCTTCAGGAATGGAGATCCATGACTTTCCTGTTAGCTCCTTGCAGTGGCAATGTAAGCAGCAGAAAAGTAGTGTCAGCTTGGCTTAAAATCCAAGTTAAGGAAGGATTGGGAGCCACGGTGTCCCTTGTCAGGGAGGTGAGCATTACTGATTATAATCCAAGCCCATGAATGGTTAGCTTTGGAAACAGGTATTGAAAGGGATTAGGGTTAGGGTTAAGAGAGATGCAGTGTGGGGAGGAGGTCATCTAAGAAACACAAGTCTCAAGCTCCTTTGGACAAGTAGAACTGCTCAAATCTGGACTACAGATGGCAGATCTCTATTTCCAGCATTTCTGACAGATGGCCATTTGAAGACCTTCCTTCATGGAACTCACTACTTCATGTGGCATCCTGTTCTCTTGGCTGACAGCTCGTATAGTCAGGAAGTTCCTCCTGATCACTAGCCTAATCATCCTTCCTTGTACTTTCAACCCATTGCTTCTGGTTCTGCCCTTTGGTGCAAAAGGGAATAAGGTATTTGAAGACTGCTCTCATTCATCTCCTTGGTTATCTCTTCTGTAAGCTAAATGAACCTAGATCTCTGTTAGCTGTTCCCTGTAGAAATTGCTTTCCAGATCCCTTACCATCTTGTTGCCTTTCTCCAAGCTCATTTGATTATCACTGTTCTTTTGGAACTATGGTGCCTAGAACAACATAGCTCTCCAAGTGGAATCTGACTAGGACACATTAGAGTGCAGTAATTATTTCTGTGGTCTGGACTCTGTGCTTCAATTAATGCACCCAAGATAATGTTTGTCTTTTTATCTGCATCACACTGATGTCTCATGTTTATCTTGTGGTAAACAAAAATACCCAGGCCCTTTCCTGACCAGGTTTTCCCCATCCTTTACTTATGCCTTACATTTTTTTTCTATGCAGATCCAGAACTTTAAATTCCATCCTGCTTATTCAGCCCACTGCTTAAGCCTGTCTAGATCTTTTTGAATCTTCTCTTTCTCCTCTAAGATATTAGATACCCCTCCCAGTTTTGTGTCATCTGCAGCCTTTTTAAGTGACTCCTCAATTCTCTCATTCAAGTCACTGATCAAAATATGAAACGGCACAGGGCCCCAGGACAGACCCCTATGATATTCTACTCAACACTTTCTTCTAAAGTAGATGTAGAGCCATTAATAAGCAGTCTTTGCGTATGATCATTCAGCCAATGGAGTATTCATCTAACAGTAGTGTCATCTAGCTCATATTTTATCATTTTATGAAGGAGATTATCATGAGGCTTTCTGTCAAAGGCTTTCCTGATGTCCAGGCTATCTCTGTAGTTTTCCCCTGATCTACTAAGCTAATGGCTCTTCAAAGAAGGCAGTGGGGTAATTTAGCATGCTTTGTTTGTGACAAACCCATGCTGGTTCCTGTTAATTGAAGCATCCCTATCCAGGTGCTCACAAACAAATTGCTTGATTGATTGTTGAAAGACTTTACCTGTTATAGACATTGAACTGACAGTCTACAGTTCCTGGATTGTCCTCCTTCCCCTTTTTGAAGATGGGGTAACATTTGTTCTTCTTCAGTCTTCTGGGACTTCACCAGTCCTCCAGACTTCTCAAAGATTATGAAGAGTGGTTCTGCAGTCGCCTCTGCTAGTCCTTCAGTACCTGGGGGTGTACCCTTGGAAACCTGAATTCGTTTAAATTAACTATGTTCTCTCTTAGCCTTTCCTTGCTTGTCCTAAATTGCAATTCCCTTCTTCCCTCACTAACATAACAATGATTAGCCAGGGCTTCATTTTTGTTCTGAGAGAAGACAGATGCAAAACAGAAGTTAAGAAGTTCTGCCTTCTCACCATCACCCATTACCAATTCACCACTTTCTCCTCCTAATAGACCTCTTACAAGCCCCTTTCTGAATATTTCTGAATTTCTATAGTTTCTGGAAAATACCTTGCATTTTTGGTTATGTTCCCCTCCTTTGATTTCCTGGACATGTCCCTTTTTCTCCTCAGCATTTTAAAGACCTCTGTAGATATTCACACTAGCCTCTTTAGATTTCTCCCATTTTTCCTCATTGTGGGGATTGTTTATGATTGCACCTTCAACATCTCATTTCATAGAATTTCCCATCCTTCCCAAACACTTTTCTCCTTAAGGATTTGAAGCTGTGGATCCAACTTACCTTTCCTCAGTGCTCATCAAAAGCCTTCTTTTGAAGTCCACATGCAATCTCTGCATATTCTGAGTTCCTCCTCCTCTTCTGGATGTCATAGATTCAAAGATTACACAGTCACTCTCCCCCAGTGTGCCAGTCGCCTTCACTTTTTCAACCAGTTCTTGCTGGAGAGGATTAGATCCAAGGGTAGCAGACTCCCTTGTTCTTTCTTCCGTCTTCTGACAAATTAAGTTGCCAGTGGGAGAAGATAAGCATTTGTTGGATCTCTGACTCTTGGTAGAGTTAAATTCCCAGCAGATGTCAAGGTAATTGAAGTGCCCCATAATCACTATTGAAAGACTGGTCACTTGATGCAGAGTGATGCCCAGATGGTCAGTAGCGAACTCCTACAGCAATGTCACTTTTGTTTCTCTCTCCTTTTTTTCTTGCCCAAATATTTTTAACAGGAATTCTGTAATTCTGTGCAAGTATATCTTTTCTGTATGTGCAGTGCAACATCCCCACTCTTCCTCTGTTCCTTTTGAATAAACTGGAGACTTTCAGCACTCTGTGCCAGTCACAAATATCATCCCACCAAGTTTCAGCATTGCCTGTCACGTCATATTTGTCTTCCTGAGTAAGAGTCTCTAGTTTATTTTCTTTGCATTGTGCACTGATACAGAAATCACCTACCACCTACTAGCCTCTGTTGTAGTTTTCTGTCGTATCCTTCAGTCTTCATTCCAGCCTCCTGCTTCTCCCTTTGTGCTCTGCTTTCTTGGCCCCAGTCCTCGGCTGAAAGATGGAAGGTGACAAGCAAGCAGAAGTATTCATAATTAATGGTAAGCAAGGGGAATTCAATATGAGTTAGCATCACAAACTAAATTGCCAAGAATTTGTGAAGAAAAACTTGTGAGATTAATTTATTAATTGTATTGCTGCTGTAATGAAGCAAATTAAATAACATCATGCCAGAGATTTGTTCTTACCTTACCTCATAATTATGTGTGGAGTTAATTTTGTGGTAGAAAAACTCAGCTAACAACACAAGAAAAATGCATTAAAACTGGCAAGTTAACAGTGAGTCACTGGTCTCCTGCTGTTAATAGTGAAGAATTCAGAGACCAGCCAACCCAGTTTTTAGATAGAGTTACACATAATGTACCGTAGGGGAAAGGGGAATGTACTATGCATTTGACTATTGACAAGAAATTGTTTTGCAATAGAAAGAGAATACTTTGTAGCCCAGGGTATTGAGGTCCATGAATGCCGGTTGATTGTTATTATCATGGTTTGACCCTGCATCGCCCTTTGGAAGGAAGAGTTGTAAACACTTCTGTTATCAGTATCTTGGATAATGTTGCAGTTTGTGGAGATATACAACTTGTGAATTCATTGATGCAACAAAGGTTGCAACTCCAGGAGGATACGCAGATGAGGGAGTAGTCCTGACTTGTATACAAGAAAGATGGTTTAGTAATTAAAGCTGTTGTAGCTACATTCACTGATTTTTACATTTAGCAGGCAAGCAAGGGCAGGGATGCTTGGAGACCCAGGTGTGTGCATGTAGGAGGCATAGAGTACGACACTGTGTCCCTCTGCAAGTTTAACAGTTGTCAGGGGAAACATTAAAGATGGGGAGAACAGTCATAGGGCCCCTAAAATGATTTCTTCCAAGTGCACTGTCCATCCCCTGATTCACTCCCTGCCACGGGGAGTGTGTGTATGTGGCTGGTAGCCCCAAGAGGCTCTCAAGCCTCACCTCCAAAGCCACTTTAAATCCCTGGGTCTACGTCAGGAATAATCTGGGATTTTGGCTCTTGTGAAGGCCCCTCCTCCAGGACTGAAGCACCCTCCCCCCATCTTGCCATGGGGATCAAAGTCAGAGCCAGACTGGTTGATGATTTTAATCAGCCAAAGTCACGTCTCAAGGCTCAGTTTAATGGCCGTCAGTGGAAGGACATGGAGAGGAGGCAACTCTCTGTGACAAGAGATTGGAAAACTGCTGGGGAGGGAGGAAGTGTTTTTCTCCACTCTTTTTTTCCTCCTAAAAATGGGGAAAAATATAAATAGATTATGAAATCCTTTCTTTTAAAAGGATGCATGGAATAGTTAAAATCTGGAAGAAATGGTTATGTCAGGCCAAGGAATAAACTAAAATGTGAAAAGAGAGAAAGGCAGACCTTTCCAGGAAACAGAAATGGGCGTTAGACAGCAGTAAAGGACTTCAGAGAGAGCCCATCAGGCATATAGTAAAACATGCGTTCTGAATCTTGCTTCTCCCTCCCCCATATTTTTCCCAGTGTTTTTCCTGCAAATTGATCCTTTCTGTATCAAGAGCATGGAGGAAAAGATCCGCCACATGTAATTTTTATTGTTTTAACATTGATTATTTGTTTTCAATATTAACTTTTTGCCTTTCTCCTTCTCTCAATAATAAAAGTAAAACATGTTACCTGACAATTCTTCAGCAGCTTGTAGTCCATTTGTAACAAAAGCTGAACATTTTAAATGAAATTGAATTAATACATTTATAATGATTGAATAAAATATACTTCTCAATCTTTTGTACCAAACTTACTTTTATGAGCTAATCAAATTATACACCACAGATATTTTAAAGATATAAAGCGACTATATCTGTGAAAGGTGCTAAAAATAATGTTTAAAAGGTTCAGTTTCAGTGTTTCTCAAAATTTGCAGGGTTGTTTTCCTGCTGCTTCACAGTTTCGCTTCTGTATTAGTGCCTTATGTTTCATTGGAAGGGGGAAGTTTGGAAGTGTCTCTTTTCAATCATTATCCTGGTTGCTCGAAAACGTTTTGACAGGAGGAGCAGTTCAGCAGGGGATCAGTCCTCCAGGGAGGTGCCATCACAGGCAAAGGCCAGAGAGGAACTGGTTCCCAGCAGGACCCCTGGGCTAACAGTCACGCCAGTCTGTGGATCAGTCCATGGAACCTGCCAGACTCAAAGTGGCAACAACAACCACTTCTGGCTGGGTTCACAGGAGCGACTGAGTTTCCCCATACTTTGGCTGCAGAATTCCCTAGACTTGTCCCTGGGTTTTGAGGTGGCAAAAAGAGATTGTGCAAGGCAACCTTGGGGCCTTTGTCCCCTTGCCCAGTGTTCACGGTGGGACCTTCTGCTTGGTCCCAGGGCTCAGAGACCGTAATGGGGGACTTGGTGGTGGTTTGGAGAGCAGCCCATCTGCCTTCATCCTGCAAAGGTCCAAAGAAGTGTTTCTAGGCCATTGTGTCATTGTTTCCCTGCCACTTACTGCCTGTGTCTTTTGCCTTCCACAGACAATGGCTACCCGAAAGCCAGGGGTCTCGCTGGCCATGCTCGTCCGGACATCCCTGAATAACGAGATGGTAAGGGTGAGAAAGGGACCTGCTTTCTGAGGCCTCCACTAGGATCTGTTTTTTGGGTGGAAGGCCTGCCTCACCACATAGTCATGAAAAGAAGCTGGTCTTGAATCGAAGACCAAAGGAAGGGCAGGTAGAAAAAACAAACACAACACCTGTACTGTGCCCATCTTCCTTGTCCTGCCAGGAGTGGGGAGCCACTTCCAGCTGAAATGATTCCTAGATTTCCTTTTCCGCTATAAAGATGTACTTGTAACACGTGTGTGTGCGTGTGCATGTGTGCATGTGAAACCACACTCAAAAAAAAAATGAAAAAATCGGCAGGGCTAGGGCAAGTCCAGCAACCATTTTCTCTCTCACTGACACAGACACACGTCTTGCCTCTCTCTCAACATCCCTGATGGTTGTGTTCCTCCCACAGAAAATGCATGTTTTCAAGAAGACTCTGCAGGCGCTTATCTATCCCATGTCCTTGACCACGCCGCATTACTTTGAGGTGTGGACAGCCACGGCCCCCACCTACTGCTACGAGTGTGAAGGGCTCCTCTGGGGCATTGCCCGGCAGGGAATGAGATGCAGTGAGTGTGGAGTGAAATGCCACGAGAAGTGCCAAGACCTTCTCAATGCCGACTGCCTGCAGAGTGAGTCTTTGTGTGCCGTTCCTTCTTTCCAGGGCATCCCAGCGTGGGAAAAGAGGCCGCGGGGAGCCTTTGGCTAGGGTTGACTGACACCCAAATGCTGTGGACCACTAGCCCTTCACCGCTGCCTCTACTAGCTCCAAGATTTACTCACTTTGCTAACTATCTCATTCATACAACACACTGAACCTCAACTAGACCCACTGGCTGGGTTAGCTTGAAAGAGTCAGCTAAAGGCAGTTGCCTCCTTTGTGGCATGGTGGGTCAGGCAGCCTCCACATTGTACTGCTCCTCCTCCCCCTGTGTTTATGGCCATCGCTTTCTGCATCTTGTGACATTACCAAAGGGTCACCTTAGATCAAGTCAAAGCCCTGTAGATGTCATGGACTTCTCTGTCTCACCAAAGGCAAAATGCAGGTCTTGGTGCTCCCCCATGTGTGGTTGAGCCAGGACAGGGGCTTTAAGGTCTGGCCTTGTGCCAGCATGCCCTTCAGTTTTGGTTTCTGTCGGGGCCTTGGCAGCAGTGTGCAGTGATGGCATTTCTTGGGGGTCTTTGCTGTGTTTGGCTGCCCAGGGGCGGGAAGGAGCTTTTAGAGAGGAACCAGCCCTCTAAAAGCCCTCCAACTGAGGGACAAAAGAGGGGGTGGGCCAGAGGACCCACCTCTGAGGTTTCAGCAGCCCTTCCTAAAGACCAGATCAATGAATTATGGCATGTAACATGATTATTATGGTATTCCCTCAGGGGCAGCAGAGAAGAGCTCAAAGCACGGGGCTGAAGATAAGACCCAGAACATCATTACAGCCATGAAGGAGCAAATGACAATTAGAGAGAAAAACAGACCAGAGGTCTTTCATCTGATCCAGGAGGTGTTCCAGATTTCAAAGGAAGACTTCTCAAAGCACACAAAGGCTGCCAAACAGAGTGTCCTGGATGGCACCTCCAAGTGGTCAGCAAAAATAACGATTATAGGTGCGATAGTTCCCCAGCTTTTTTCTCCAGTTGTCTTTTGGTGTCTGGTCCAGCAGTCTACCTTGCAACTTGCGAATGGAAAGATGCAAACAAAACGGTGTGTCCATTGTGAGAAAAGGCTGAACTCGCCCAGGCTGAGGCTTATGTTTTGGGATCTCAGGCTGAACCTAGGAAGAGTCTTCTGATGGGGTTGAGTGGCAGATCAATCTGCCTAGAACAGAGGTGGATTCCTCTCCCTGGAGCTGTTCACTTGGAGGCTGGAGGTCCTTCCGTTGGGAATGGGTTAGTGGATTCCTCCACTGGCCCAGGGGGTGGGCCAGGTGGCATCATTGGTCCTTTCTGGCTCGTGCATAATGTATTCTTGGTGAAATGACAGCTTCCTTCCTGCCAGTTTACAAAGATCCTTTCATACTGGATATCGACTGACAGCTTAGAGATTTGTTTATGCAGCCCCACGCTCACAGGAGAGAATTGAAAATACTCCAGAGGCTTTTGGCGTGAATCCTCCCCTGCTGTCGGTCCCCTACTCTTTGACATCCCATAATCCGAGTTTGCTGTCCCCTCTGGCAGGGAGAGTTGCGCTAAATCAAATTATCTTCTCTTTTTATTATGGCATTTATATTCCACCTTTCATAATATCTTATTATGCATAATTTTACTGACCTGGGAAGAAATGCTTTACTATCTGAAACTGAACGTGAATTATGAAGGATGTGTCTCTTCTGCAGAGAAGTAACCATATTAACTGGCAGACAGTTAACAGCTGGTTGATTTATTTATTTATTTATGCAAAGCAGTTTTATTGTTCAGTTGTGAACCTATACATACCTAATCCTTAATTAAGCATATAAGGAACTCACAGCAGGAATGTTTCCTGAGCTTTATGCAAAAGAATGCTATGTAAAATGGACATGCTGTATTATGATGCCATAATAACAACAACTGAGATTTACTGTGTCAAGATAGGAAGAGGCTCATATAGCATGTAATGAATTTTGGTTGTGGGATGGATGATTCTGGTAAGAAGATGGGCAAGGCCACAAGAGTCACAACTGTCAAGACTGGGAAAGAAAGCTATCTCTTGGATTTGTAGAAGATTCGGTTTCTTTTGTTTCATGGAATCATAGCATTGGAAGGAATCTCAGAGGTCTTTTAGTCCAGCCTCCTGCCCAGGGCAGGAATCCTCAGACCATCCAAACAAATGGCTGCCCAACCAGGGATAACTTTTCACTAGTGACACTGAGGCATCCAGCAGAGGAGGGATCCCCTGCACAACTGGAGCATGGGGGCCAGTTGCCATGGAGCCCTTCATCTGGGAGGGGGCCTAGGGCTTGAGAACCTTGCAGGCAGGGAAGGAAATGAATTCTAGAGATGGACTGTCCCTTGTCCTGGCCAAGCTCCAGGACTGGGTAAGAAGGAACAGACCCTGAAAAGAGAAATCAAGAGCTTGTTTAGGCTCCAGGGTCTTGACTCATCTGCTTGGATGAAATGATGATCTGGATACGAAGTGGCACTTTTTCTGATGAAGATCCAGGATGTGATAGGAAGGAGCAGACGCTAAGGCTGTTTCTGAGCCACTTTGGGCCAGGAAGAAGAAATCAAAAGCCAGCCAGAGTCGTCTTGTCTCCTTGGATTGGAAGTCTCTTCCAGCTGCTGTTCACAGTGCTTCCTTCCTCCTACAGGATGACTTTGTTGAACAGTTTAAAGGGGGGGGGGGGGCAATCCTGGTCTCCCAAGTCCAAGTAGAGCTTGGGGAACAGGGCATTCTGATCCCAACAGTTCTCTGAGCAGGCATCTGATCAGCTCACTGTTCTAGCAGAGACTGTTCAAAATGTGGCTACCGTGCAGCTGTCTAGATGCTGTAATAATACAGATGAAATTAATAATACAAATTGGGGGAGGGGGGATAGCTGTGACTGTGATGCAGGTCTTGCTTTTAGTGGCCTGAGCCTGTTTCTGGCTTCTGGCTGAGCAATTTGCTTTGTTATGAATTGTGATGGAAGAAGCAGCTGACAAGTATTTATGTTTATAGCAGCATAAGCACACACTAGCTAGCATACATTCTGATACCTGCAATGGGAGAGTTTTCAGTGGGGCTTGCAAATTGGAGAAATGGGGGATCTGGAATGTATGTCTTGCTCCAGGTAAACATGACCTTTTCTCCTGAGTGAGATGTTTGAAGGGTTTACTTGGATATGAGAGGTAGCTGACTGTGTAGAAACTTCCTGTAGCTTTCCAAGGGACAAGCTAGGGTTTTCAAACTAAAGGCTTTCTATTGGTAATAATCCACCCCAGCTGGAGGGAGCTGGACTTCTGGAACGTGGTCAGAGAGGCACAACCCCTCTTTTGGTTATTCTGCACCCAAGGCTCCCCAGCTTCCCCATCTGCTTTGCTGGTGTTAGGCTCTATTATCCAGTTTGGATTCCTTAAACTTGTCTGCTTCTTCGCATTATTTAAATGGTTTGTTTTTATAGCCAGGCCTATATTTATTTCTACCATATGCTTGATGCACACAGGGTGTGTTTTTTCCTGCATGGGTACTCCCCATCTAGGACAAAAAGAAAACCAAGCTGAAGCGTTCATGTTCATAGAAATCCAGCTGAAATAGATCTAGATCTGTGACCTCAAATAAATAAGCACCCAAAAGCCAAATGGGCAACCTGGGAGGCAGCTCCCTTCTTTGGAGCCAGATCTTTGGTCTCTCCCGGCCGGTCTGGTCTCCTCTGCTGGCCTCCTTGTTCCGGGGTTCCGGATCTGTTGGGATCTTCCTCAGCTCTTCTTGGAGATCTGAACTAAATCTCTTTGCCTCCAAAGCTGGGGCTCTGTAGCTGCTTCTCTCAGGATAAAGAGATGACCCCTGCCCTCCCCAGGCTCAGCCTCAAAAGACACAAAAAAAGGAGGGGGGAGGGGAAGAAGAGCCCTGAGGTTCTCAGGGTTACGAGGCTCAGAGCCGCCACCTCTGCCGCAGCTCGGGGAAGAGCTACCGGGTGATTTACCAAGCTGGCTTACCAGTGGCTGGGGGGCTTCTTTCCTCCCCCCTCCAGAACTTCTTTCTGCCCATGCACAGTTTGTCTGCTGTGTGGCAGTTGCCCCAGGTGGGCAAGGCAGAGGCGTAGCAGTGGGGCTAGGGCCATGCTCCGTGCTTGTGACTTGCTTGCAGCACCAGGAAGGTCAAAGTCCAGAATGTGTCTTCTCTTGCTTTGACCTCTCCCTTCTCTCACTGAATCCCAGCTGGTCTCTTCGATCTGGCAGCTGCTCCACGGTCTCCAGCAGAAGGTTGTCCATCCCCTACTTCCTGATTTTTCCCAGGCAGAGGATCTGGGTCACAAAGCTCGTGCTGCCCCCATTGCAGCCCTTAGGTGTGCAGGAACCTTGTATGTTATGGGCCAATCCTGATGTGCAAATCGGATTCAGCTATTTCTGTCATGTTTTTACAGTGGTTTGTGCCCAGGGCTTGCAAGCAAAGGACAAAACTGGCTCCAGTGATCCATACGTTACTGTGCAAATTGGCAAAACGAAAAGGAGAACAAAGACTGTCTTCGGAAACCTGAATCCAATGTGGGATGAAAAGTTTTATTTGTGAGTACTAAAAGATAAAGGTTTTGTGCATTCTTCTTTGCTTCCATTATTCATGGTGTTTATTTGGATGCAAACTTTTTGTGCAGTCTCGGGCTGTGCAAAAAGTTTTGGGCTTTCTCATTCAGCTTCTGAGTTACAGTCAGAACTTTTACCGACTCTTATTATTCAAAGGTCACGTGTTCATGGTATGGAATGATCAGGGAATTGGGCCACATTCTAATTTTGGAGGATGGGAAGCTGGAGTCTTCCACCTTTTCTTGGCCAGGGAAGTGGCCAACTTTTGGTAGACTAGAAGGCACAGTTCATTTGATGTTGGTGATGATGATGGCTTTTCTTAACTGGATTTAAAATACAGTCATGATAGATATAGCCATAGTTTCATCTGCAGCACTGATAACCTTACTGGCAGCAGACTGTCTCTCAGATTGTAGTTTAATTTAAGGAGGGGGGACAGTTTCACTACAGTATGGTGGTTATCCAGGATGGCTGTGTGTAGACTATTCCAGATTTCTTTTCTCTGAATAAACCACAGAGTATTTCTGGAGAGTAGCAGCAGGCCATGGACTTTAGCCCAGTCTGAGCATTTTCTAGAAGCACCTGTTGATCAGTGCTTGGAAAGTAAGCTTCAGAACTCAGATTACAAAAGGAGGATCACCCCCTTGATGTATGTGAACATTTATTTGGTGGTCCTTCTGGTGATTTTTTTTTTTTAAAGTGGAGATCTGAATTTGCTAAAATTGGCAGAATGAGAGTGTGTGACTGGTGAAATTCTACCCCTCCCCAATTCAGCATGTCCCATAATTCAAGACCCAAGTAGGATACTGTCTACAACTAGATAACAGCATCTGTTTGATGGGGTAGTGCCCTGTCCCAGGCCCAGATTTCAGGGGTGATTTTGCATGAGAATCTTGTTGGATGCGATCCCTCCCACCCTTGTCAAAAGAAGGATTGTGCATTACCATTGCTTTTCCATGGGCTCCTTGAGGCCCAAGCAAGGAGAAGGTGTTGCTAGGATGGTTCTTCAAGGGTTGATTCTGGGCTATGGAACCATGGCCTCAGACTCAGTTGGCATGTAGCCAGTACATCCATATTTTCCGAAAAGTAAGCATGAAAAAGCAGTACAGCCTTGGCCAGGAGTCTGATGGGACAGTAAGAATTGAATCATTATCTGCTTGCAAAGACCATCATTGAACAACTTTAAGAGGACGTCCAGCTGTGATTTGCTGTCCTGCCTTATTTCTCCAGCTTGACCAAAGTCCTACCTTTTGTATTTGTTTCACATTTTGCCATGTTTTCTAAGTCCACCGTGATTCAGATCAGGGTTTCCAAGCCAGGTTCATCCTCGTGGCCAGGCTTGTGTCCATTTTCTGCTGCAGTATTCCTCAGTTAGCGTGGGGGAAGCCAGTCTGAGCAAGTGAGCCCTGGGGGCAGGCCCCCTCAATCCTGATGGGGGCCACAGGACTCAAAAGACAGGAAGCGACTTAGGTTGGGTTAGACTTCTGCCCATCAGTTCCTATCTTGAGAAGACCAACTGATAGCAGCAGTCAAGATCCTAGTATGGCTCTCTTCCTTCCTATCCTGACAAAGTTGCAGGATCCAATTTGGGATTTCTGCTTGCAGAGTTAGGGCTTTGCCAGAGGTCTTTGCTCTCCTCTTCCTTGGTGTGCATGCAGAAGGTAAGGTACCTTCTGTCATTGGTCAGGCCTCCTGCCCCCACTGCCGGACTTTCTTCTTTGTCTACTTCTGAACCTCTCATTCTGGGAAGAAGGCAGTCTGCAGCTTTCTCGAGCCTTGGAGAAAATTGCAGCTATTTCCCCCCCACCCCAGATATTGGTGCTTCTCGAGGATTTAGAAGGGAAGACATCAGTGATTGTGGAGTCCTTGAGGTTTTCTGAGCTTGGTTATTTTCTTGCAAATGTTTTGTTACCTGGCTAGGTAACATTTTCAGTGCTAGAATGGAATGGGGTTTACTCTCTGTTTATATGCAGTGGCATGCCCTGCCAGTGTTGGTGGGGGTGTGGGTTTTGTTTTGTTTTATTCCCCGCCCCGCCCAGTAGTTCCTTGATTAGGGTATTGTTTCCTGCTTGATTGTATATCTGGTGATAATCTTGGTGTTAATCTCTACTTCTCTGGATGATGATTGCTGGTGAGGAGATGTTTTGCTTTCCTTTTTACTGTCTCTTTTGAATAGTGTGTAGATGTTGTTTATCTCTATGTGCCTGTTGATGGCTGCCTTGTCTGAATACCGAGCTTCCAGGAATTTTTTACTGTCTCTTTTGAATAGTGTGTAGATGTTGTTTATCTCTATGTGCCTGTTGATGGCTGCCTTGTCTGAATACCGAGCTTCCAGGAATTCCCTCACATTTTTGGATTTAGCTTGGTCTAAGATGCTAACAGTTTCTCAGCTGAATCTATGGTTAAGTCTGTCCATGTGTTGTGAGAGTAAGGAGTTTTCTTCATGTCTTCTGACTGCTAGCTGGTGTTCATGTATGTGCTCTGCTAGCCTTTTGCCTGTCTGTCCTACATAGTGTTTGTTACAGTCCTTAAGCTGTATGTTGT